GGGCGACGAAAAAAACGACAGAGAAGACACTGGTGGCAGCTGGAAGGATGGCCTACCTACTTCTGTTTCTCCAGTTTTTTGTGCATCAGCACTTCGCATCTGCGGGTAAGTGCTAGAAACAGTTTTCTTTCTGCTTGTTATTGACGATATCTTAAAGGCATCTAATGCAATTTCATGGCGACAAAACTGAATTTTTAAATGAATTTTCTGGCCATTTTTTTAATGCAGTAGATGCAATTAATCCTATCCTATAGCAGATATTTGTGAGGCAAAAATGCGATGTCGCTGACAGAAAACTGTTGCATGTTTTTATGTTTTCTTACCGAAGGCTGGCTCTAGCTATTTATGGGCGGTATCCACCAAAAAAGAAAATTAAGAAGCCGCCTCACGTAATTTGTTTTGGGACCATTGCAAAAGCTCCAAGTCTGAAATGATGACAAAAAACGTGCTAAAAAATGGCCGCAGTAAACTTTAATATCATACATATTTCCTCATCCAGAAAGTTTTTGTCTTGCCGATCTGAAAATTGCTTTGGATGCCTTGAAAACAAGTACAGCTCCAACGGAGGTTTCCTATACGAGCGATCTCTATCATATACATGTAAATTTGTTTGAAGGCATATGGAAATAATCATCGATAGGCGAATTAATTACCCAACTATCACCCGCTTATGCCTGGTAAACCACTTTCTGGCTCTGACGTTGTGGCGATAAACTCGTTTTTACCCGAATTAAGTGAGGAAAGTCGTGTAAAGTGCCTTTTCCAAGGGCACAAGATCGGTGGCATGGCAGGATTCGAACTAGGGACCACTTGGTTCCGAGCCGAAAGATTTGCCGTACACATTATTTATTGACCGTTGCGAAGCACAAAGTATCTGTTTTCTCCACACTTCTAGGTTTTCTGTTCTTCTTCTAATAACGTTTCACTTCGTGCTGTAACGTTTCACTTAGTGCTTTTACCAAAATAAAAATTAAATAAAAGCTTTATCGTCCAATTTATTGAAAACTAATTTTGATTTTTGGTGGAAATTTTGACAGAAAAGGGGTCGCTATTTGTCCTTGGCAATTCCATGGACAGTGACAATACCAGGGGTATAGAATGCGTCTATTTCGTTAAATTATGCGGCTACAAATAACATGTGGAAAGGCAGAATTTGGAGAAATATAACTAGAAATACACTAGACACTAAACGCTGTCATTTTGGCATCTTTATTTTTCTTCATACAAGCGACCTTGTCCTATTTTCTCACTGTCCTTCAAACTGCGCAAGGACACTATATAATGTCCCTTTGTCTCTGCACTCTGACGCATTTTCTGCCTATCAAAAATCATTCCGCTCCAGTTTTCGGATAATTGCGTTAATGTGGTGTCACATGATGTCACATTTTGGACAAATATGACAGTTAGCTTTTCCATTTTTTTTTTACTGTGGTCACATAATGTTGCATTATTTTCAAATTCTCCATCAAATTCACATAGATATTACCTTTTTACACCTGTTAATGTAAAGGCGTCGTGGATAATCCCTAGCACTGCCGAAATCTTATGTTAGTTGTAGGTCTGTCGGGAGCAAGTCGGCTGATGGTCGGCTGTGCCCGTGTACTGTCAAAATGTTTCAAACATGATGGGAAGCAATTAGTTGGCTCGGGTTGGTGGGTAGGTCTGCAGTGTTCTGGACTCAAATTTGACTGAAAGTCGATTCGATTCGTACAGAGAGGTTGAAGTAGGCGTGGCCTAAATCTGATCACACCGCTCCCGAACTTTAGCCAACCTCGGTTGGTTGGTGGTCGGGGGAAGGTTCTGAATAAGAAAGAAAGAACTTTATTGTACATTCTTGCTCATTGCGAACTAAGTACAGGTCACGGCAAATAGTGATGGTAGACTAAAATATATCAATAGTAAAACTACATATGTGCAGGTTCTGCTTCTTCTTAAAACAGTTGTAAGTGTAAGAACAGATGGAGTTAGTACAAGAGTACAAGAGTTATCGAGTTCCATTAGCAATGTGAATTTTTCTTTTCTATCTAAAAATCTAAACCAAGGGAAATAATATTGTATGCAATTAAAGGGAATCTTTCTATCTTTAGCTAGTATGTTAAATTATAACCGTTAACGTTGGCCCATTGTACACTTGTTCTCTGTGTATGTTTCAGCTGTTCTAGTGCCGCAAGTAGGCAGCTCCGACAGCCGCAGTCTGTTGGACAGAGTAGTGGACAGCATACTTACTGACAACGACGCCGAGCTCAACAACGCTCTCAGGGATGTGAGAGGTAAGTACAACTTTTCAATACTTCCAAACCTGCACCCATAGTCCAAACCATGACTAGAGTAGACCACTTAACATTGTAGAAGCGACACCTAGCGGCAGTGTGGAATATAATTCTTCGTTGTGAATGAAGAACTTTGTCACACATAACAGCCATTTACTATCCTAAAGAGCCTATTCACCAACGGAAACAGATACATGTGCTGTTAATATGTTCTCTTCAGGTTGTAGAACCAGAGGAACTTTTTTATTAGCTGATACAGTACTAGCTGTATCAGTATTAGCTGATAGCCTGGTTACCAAACCTATTATAGCTCCCGAGTCCTACATCCTCTCCGCAAATAGAGAGGATGTAGGACTCGGGAGCTATAATAGGTTTGGTAACAAGGCTAACAGTACGATGCAATTTCAGGGCGGCAAAACAAAAAGAAATAATAATCTCTATAAGAAAATATGTCTGATATTTACTGAGGCATCCATTTCTTTGCACATTTTCATCTTTATTTCATACTTGAAGTATTTGGAAAAAAACCCAAGAAAAGCTACCTGAGGAGGCATTTAACCAGCCTACGATACAAAACAAGTATCCGACTTTAAATTCGTCAGCTACATCGAATTTGTGCTTTACAGATAGATATTAGTACCTTATAGGATAGGAACTACATTCAAAAGAATGATCAGAAAATTGACTTTGAAAATCCAGTTTTCTGCCTGAAATTTGCATTGAATGCTTTTAACCCTTGTCCTGCTGGCATTCCTGGCACAATATTTTTTAATAATAGACCCTCATTTTTTTTGCCCTGCAGTGGCATAGTTACTTCCGCATTCGTTGCGTTTCGCTGCGGTGTGATGCGTTGCACGAGAAATACCCCCAAATCGTACTTACACAGAATGCTACATAGATGGTACTGTATGTGCAAAACAACAATTGTGCTCCGCAGGTAGTATCACTTTTCGATTTTAACGTTTATGAATCCATCAATTTTGTATCCATATTTTAGCCGCCAAACGTGAAGCAAAACCACTAGCTGACACGGCTGTCTTCATGGACGACCCGGGGACCGATATCAACCACAAAGTCCGAGTAAAAAGGGCGGCCCCAGCCTTCCTGGCCTCGGCTGCGAGTCAGATCGGCGAGAAGGTAGTGAACCAGCTCGGTGACAGGATAGCAGACGGCGTGGTGGAAAACCACCAGGAGAAAGTGGTCAATTCCCTCCAAGACTACTTCGCTAAGCAGCTGGACAGCTTCGACGATCAGTACAAGGACGCTCTGGGGAAGACCATTGACCTAGCTGCAGGCCTGAGCAGACCGGTTGAAGAGGTAGATAATATATCTTGAAACTTCATGCTAACAAAGACGGGGGGTGCCACAGACTTCCTGAAACATGCGATCCACTGCTCACCGAGTCACGTGTGTCATCTGCATAACGTGACGTTACATTCCTTACAAAGACAGGAGTTGTACGGTCGAAATTAGTCAAACATGATAGGATTTATTCAATGAAAAAAGACGTTTGACCAAAAGAAGAAAAAGAAACTGAGGAAAAAAATAGTCTATTTTTATTTTGCGAACAACGTTTCCTGGACATTCAAAGCTTTTTATTTATTTATTTTAACTTTATTTACACATAATACATGTAAGAACGTAATGAGGAACAGGAATGCCCTTTAAGTTCCCAGACAAAAATTTAGTGACAGTCCTTTCTTTGTTTGGTGTATTGTTTTATTTCACTTTTAATACCCCTGTTGTTGATTTCAGGCTGATGTTCGGGTTCTCCCTATCAGCAGGGGGGACAACCTGGGGAACAGTTTTGTACCCGCTGGTTATGAAATCAGCCACAAATATCACTATGCGGATGAAACGTAAGTGTGATATATAATTCTTTCGTGTTTGTGTGTGTGTGTTTGTGTGTTTGTATGTGTGTGTTTGTGCGTGTTTGTGCTTTGTGTGTGTGTGCTTTGTGTGTGTGACTGTGTGACTGTGTGTGTGTGTGTGTGTGTGTGTGCATGTGTGTGTGTGCGTGACTGTGTGTTTGTGTGTGACTCTGTGTGTGTGTGTGTGTGTGTGTGTGTGTGTGTGTGTGTGTGTGTGTGTGTGTGTGTGTGTGTGTGTGTGTGTGTGTGTGTTGAGTCAATGAAGTTCTCTGTGAAAGTTTATCTGAGTTTATAAATGACATTATGGATTCATGAAAACGTTTTCCATCGAAAAACATAATCGATGCCACTTTTCAACTGAAGTACTGACTTCACTGAAAGTGCCTTACTTAAAGTTTGCACAGGACACGTGGCATTATGCACATGTAGGTACCTGGGTCAGAGGATGTTGGAAGTCGATATTGTCCCCCGTCCAAATTCCACAAACCTTCTTTTGACCAGGACAGGGGGCGATATAGACTTCCAACAACCTTTGGCTCATCACAGACGCCACACATGTATTACGGCACGTGTTCTTATGATTATTAATTGGGTTTGATAGCCTATTAATACTGTAATTCACTTTATGTTCACGGTAGCATAAGTTCACAGTCTGAGAAAAATTGACATGTTCACGGAACTACATATTCACGGTGGCAACAGGTGCAGGAAAAAGACAGTCCAGGATTCATTTGTTAACTGTAATGATAAGTTCACAGTACAGAAGTGACAATGAAAACAGTGAACATAACAGTACAGTGAAAAAAATCAGGAATTGCAGTAAGGAGACTGAGCGATTCAGTCAAAATGGTCAGTTCAACATTTTGAGTTGCTTTTCAGTCTTCTCTGTAACGATATCGATATCTCTTCCGTTATTCAGAATTGTTTGATTCCTTGCATTGTAGAGATGACGAGCAAGACAGTTCCACAGCGGCAGTTTCAGCCTACAGCTACCCGGTCGGACTTGGCCCCGTTCTTATGAACGGTTGTTTCGGGACAGGTTACGTCAATGGAGACCCGTGCTGGGAGGCCAAGATACCGAGGGAGAGTTGTCCGGTATGTCTGGCTTTTTTCAATACCAATCTATGACCAATTCATTACGTTGTGTGTAGAAGTATAATTGTTTGGGTGGTTTGCTGGGAAGTTTGTATGTATCTTGTCCGAAGTATTGTTTTGGGTGGTTTGCTGGGAAGTTTGTATGTATCTCCTCAGAAGTATTGTTTTGGGTGGTTTGCTGGGAAGTTTGTATGTATCTTGTCAGAAGCATTGTTTTGGGTGGTTTGCTGGGAAGTTTGTATGTATCTTGTTAGAAGTATTGTTTTGAGTGGTTTGCTGGGAAGTTTGTATGTATCTTGTTAGAAGTATTGTTTTGGGTGGTTTGCTGGGAAGCTTGTACGTGTCTTGTCTCGTGGCATAGACCAGAGAGTGAGTTTTGCACGTGGTTTTAAGGGCCAAGATCCCGAGGGAGAGTTGTCCAGTATGTTTGGCTTTTTTTGTACTACTGATCTACTGTGGATTTATTACTTTGGGTACAGAAATATTGTTTTGGGTGGGTTACTGGGAAGTTTGTATGTATCGTGTCCCGTGGCAACGTTTTCTGTCATTATTCCATAAGGCCAAATTTAATTTGCTAGTTCTCGGATCGGATTCGCCTCTTCTTTTTTTTTCTAATTTGCAAAAAAAAAAAAGATTCTGGTTCTGAATCAACTCAAATATGCTCATATCTTGCCCACAACAGTTCAGGAAAGTCCTTTTCTTCCTGGTTGTTTTTCCATTAATCAATGCAGTAGTTTGATTTTAAAAGTTCAAAATTCACTGTTTAGCTATTAACCCAGTATTTTGTGTTAACTTCATGTCTTCTATATCGTAGCATTTGGGGCTTTAATAGGATGCCTAGATCTGTTTTTATTGTTAAGGTTTTTTTCGCCCTGTCACTTCATATTTTTTCTGAAAAAAAATCCGACAACCAACAAAATAAATTGGTGTGGCCTAACAGTGACATGTTTTGTTTGTATTTATCATATGTAGGATTTGATAGACGGTGCGACGTTCCTGGGTGTGGGGTTCGACGGTAGAGGAGAATACTCCGCAGATTCCAGGAAGAGAAGCATCGTACAACGGTCCTGCAACGGCCTGCAAACGTAAATGAAATGATCCATAGAATTCATTCCATTGTGCAAAAAACATGTTTTCATTCATCAAAACATAAGGACAGTTTGACGTTGCACTCAAGTTTATAACTTATATTCACAGCGCCACACAACAAAAAAGTACCATTTAAAAATACACACAAAAAATTTAAACTACGCTAATCCTGTCTATTACAACTAGCACTTTGAGAGAATGAAGTTAGTAGTTAGACCAGTAAGAGCATGGCTTTTACCAGTTTGACCAATGAGATAATGGCTGCATGACCGTCTGATATTTTCATTCTTATGTTTAATCTTTTGTATTTCGCATTTACATGTTTTGATGGACGTATTTGATTATGGGATTTGTAAATTGAGCTCACCAATACAGTTCCAGACTGGAAGGCAAGTTACATATTTGTAAGCATAAGGAGGCATTAAATAATATTTAGGAACTTGACGACTCTTGTCGTGATGATAGTCACATTTTTTTTCTGTTTTCCAGGTACGAAGATCACGAGGTTCCTGACACGATGACAGTTCAAGGTGTTTATGACACTGATGTAGAGTCCAACACCTTTGCCTCTATGGAGGGGTACAGGGAGTATCTGGAGCAGAAATCTGCCGTCACTTCTGCCAAGGCCATGTTCCAACAGGAGCTGAACAAGGCAGCCGGGTACGGGGCAGGAGGCGGGATCTTCGGGCTGGGTTACTCGGCGGGCGGCGGGTTTTCTGACCAGAGTGCCCGGTATGACCAGTCTTCCAACTTCGGGGCGGGCTCCCAGGCCGAGGGCCGGCTGACCGACAAGAATACACAGACGTACATGGCACTGTTGGAGATCAACGTCTTCAGGTACAATCAGCACTTTCTGAATTATTGTTTCTAATTCTAAATAGATAACCATCAATATGCTCTATGCCTTTCCGGTCTACTGTGCCAATTCAAGCTGAGAAATCAACCACTTTGTTGAGGTTATCTATCATAAATATTAATGAGCTTGCCTTATTTGGCACCGTCCAATCAGCGTTTAGATTACAAATTTTCAATATGGCGGACTGTTGTGATGAGCGTACGTGCTCAGTAAACCTTTTTTTTCCGAAAAGGTTTCTAAGGATTTTCGGTCGGTATACGTATTCGGTGATGCCATGATCACTCTCTATCCACAGGTCTTAGATTTTAAGTTTTAGAAGTTTGTACGATCGGAAAAAACAAGCAGATCAAGAACATGAGGTGAAGGACTTGTTGGTCATGAATATTAATGAACCTGCCTTATTTGGCGCAAGCCAATCAAAGTTACTCAAAGTCATGAGGTATATACTGGTTGGTCCGCTCAAACGTATATTAGGTGAATGCTCTAAGTAAACCAACATAATGCAATGTTTAGCAGATACGTACGAAGTATTCCTGATACTTAATTTTGCAGTGGATGGAATATGTTTTGTAACTGTTAATTGAAAGTACACAGCATGGTGCCCAAGTATCCAAGAAATTTGAAATGCCAACTGATTTCAGGTACGAGATCTTCATGGACGATGTAGAACCGGCCGACCTGAACCTGGCCTTCCTGCGGGACTTCCTCAAGCTGCCGGTGTCCTACTTCTCCATCGGGGCTGACCAGCAGTTCCGTAAGTGGCCTTCCCGTGTTTGGCTCATTATATTGGTGTCCCGTCTATCGTGGTTTGGGCGGGCTCTCTTCGGGGCTGCAGGAGGTGTCCGCCGCCAGACTCAACTTGGCACCCGTAGGAGCTTTGCATGGCAGGGGTTTCGTTAGCCCACCACTTTACTGGGCTAATATCAAACTACTGCCGTGCAAACCTCCTACAGGCGCAAAGCTCCCAACGGGTAGCGCTAGTTGAGCTGGGCGGGAGAAAACTACTATAGCTCCGAAGAGAGCCATCCCAAAACATGATAGCCTTAACACCAAGCTATTTCTGCGTATGTTAGAAAGCCACGTTTACATTCGCCCTTGTATTTCTTCTTCTGCTTTTGCATCTACATTGTATTTTTTTTATATATTTGGAGACGATTCCTATCTGCCTATTCTCAAATAGTATAGATACAACAAATCTTTGACTTGTTATCCTTACAATTCATGAACGTTGAAACATGGGCTTACGATCGCCCGATGTATGTCGAATGATGACTTTGCTCTAAAAGAAAGTCTTTCAGCAAAGGTAACGGAAGTATTTTTGTGAGCGGCGCTGGTTTTGGGGAGTTTGTATGTATGTGTTTCGAAGTACATGCGGATATAAGCTTTCACTTGATTGACAGGGTTTTGATGTGGTATGCCTCGATAAAACGTATTACTAAACAATCATTAATTTACAGACGGATATGCCAATGCATTCATATGATTAATAATCCATTCAATGATGTAATTCATTAACAGGTGTTAGAAGTTTTCTTCGTATAAAATGTTGCTTTTATGCTTATTCCAGAAAACTTCATCCTTCGCTACGGAACACATTACATCAAGTCGGCCAAGTTCGGAGGACAACTGAAGATCATCAAGACCAAGGAGGCCAGCTCAGACCTGTCCATCCAGGCGTTCTCGGAGAGAGCACAGACGGAGTGGAAGAAAGCCTTCAGCACCTTCTCTGCAGAGGCGAGTCAGACCAAGTCCAGCAGCTGGTGGCATGAGCACGAGACCAGGAAGGAGTCCCAGCAAGCCGAGGGAGAGGCCGAGGCTGATACGGAGGCAACAGCCGCACAGAGCCAGACCGAAAATTTGTGAGTAAAAACCGCATAGTAGAAAATAAGCAGTTACTAGAGAATTCTTTCAGGAGTGACAAGTTTTTGAAGTGTAAGAATACTAGCCTCCAAATTTTCGATGACTATCAGTCCATCTTGATTACGAACTGGCCTAGTCTCGCGAGAGCACGAGATTTAGTACTCTTACCGTTCAAAAACGTTCAGAAACTATCTAGATATGCAAATTTGTTTTTCTCAGAAATGATATGGCTTCTTTTTGGAGATATTATCTGTTATTAACCCGTTAGAATTCTCCAGAACAGACACATGTTTTACAGACAGTTGCCTACACTCCAATCATACAAAAGAAGGATTTCCTTGTGTCAGATCGAAAGTGTCAACATTACTCCTGACAAATAAGCCTTTGTCTCCTAGGCATTCGTTTGAGTTCAGTAACGAGATGATGGTGGTTCAGGGCGGTGATCAGCGGATCGCAGCAGCCATCACAGAGATGTACACCTCCTCACTGTCCACGGAGCTCAAAACATGGCTGGAGTCCATCAAGGACTACCCAAAGGCCTTCTCCTTCATCATGAAGCCAATAACATCAGTCCTGGACATCAACTTCGACTCGCTGTTCCCACAAGGTGCCGTGGACTTCGGCTGTTTGGGAAAAAGGTATGCATTTTGAACATGTTGGTAAATGGATAAAAGATAGTTAACTACATCTTAGATTGATAACCGGTAAACTCTTATTCATATGTTCTGAAAAAATGTAAAGGCACTTCTTCTGTCATGTGGTATCTTGTTCAGTAGCCTCCTTACACTATCTGAATAAGATGTCCTTTTTACCTTAGTCTTAATTATAGTGTATCTGTGATCGGCATTAATATTTCTCAAGAAGATATGGATGGATCTTAATGATATATGGCAGTTGGTAAATTGTAAACAAAGCTGGAAACTATTAGATTTTGGTCCCCACTGTACTGCAGCGATCCTCTGGTTGCCCTTTTGAGTGGAAGATAGCTCTTGTATAGTGTCAACTTACTTTTGAACTATATCTATAACTATACCTTATAGATTAAAAATCCACATCCCATGTTACTGTTTCCTATTGATTCACTCCCATAAGTGGGAGGTGTTTGTTTTTGGCGACGTCTCAGGGAGGAGCCTAATGGTACTGTATTGTGTGCAGTTTACAAGAATTCTAAGAATTGTACAGGAATTTTTTCCACGGGCATGGAATGTCCACAGGAATGTCTCCCAGCTCTGTTTGTTGACATGCCCACATTCCTGGAAACCCTTGGGAAAACCTGTCTGCCCCGGATGCCCTACATGTACTTTCTGTGACCCCGGGGCTCGTTCACAATGCACTCAGGGGAGGGTAGGGTACCAAGGCTTCCTCAAAATCATCAAATCATGGCAGTGCCATGCAAGTAATAGCCCTAACAGCAACAATCGTCGCCATGGCAATGTACGTTTTCATTGCCAGTCTTGTTGTATTAGTGCACATACGCATAACACCACGCTCTGTTACTATACAGCTCCCTGAAGGTTGAAAACGGAACAGGCCGGAGATATTACGTCCAGAAGACGACAAAGACCGTGGGAAATACGACTCAGGACATCTCCGAGGTTCGCTACTGTGACTTTAACCGTGAGGAGGAACTAGCGGAGAAAGTGACCAAGAGGAGGTTGGCTCTTGACCGTGCCATCACCGTTTATTTGGAAGAAGTAAGAAGACATTCAGTGTACAATTTTGTCGGGACCAGATGTACAAGACCCTGATATAATGCTGACTATCTCGTTGTTTTGGTGTGAGATACATTGCCAATGTATGAACACAAAAGAAAAACTGGCCAAATAAAACACGAAGTAACGCAACTCTTTACCCCACTTAACCGCTAAAAATGCTAACAACTTTTCTCCAATAGAAAGGGATCATGGTATGTTGAAATCCATATCCGTATATCAAAGTCCAGTCTTATTGGCATTCGTCCAATTCAAGTCATAAAGCTGATCAATTATTTGAGTCACATATCCTCAACACACTCACACCACCCAAAAGCTATTCCCGTCATGGCCTCAGGCCAGCTTTTTGAAAATACATCTTGTCTCTTCACAGTAAGCCTTGAAAACAATACTTACGTAATACTGGATGTATTTAATACTAGAGAAGTAACATTTGCAAAGCAAATGCATAATGTTTACCTTCAGACATGGTCTGCTCTGTTAATTCTTACTCAAACACATTCACATACATGTACTACTAGTATATGGTGACAGGAGCAGAGCAGACCGTGAAATTGCAACATTATGTAACCCAACACCAGTCACCATGGTGACAGACGTCAACAATTCATGTCATTGGTCAGGTCAGAGGTCACTGTTTGGAGAAGAAGAAAAGGGAGAGGAAGAAGCAGAGCAGAAACAATATGTTTTCCTTCGGTAAACATAAAAAGAAATGTTTTTCGTTTTCCAGGGTCCTCTCTTGAGTACGGACTTCCTCCTCCCAGCCGGAGAGCCCGGGTGTGAGACCGCCACCCTGGCGTACCTGGACGACAGTCACAGCGGCGCGCCGACCTGGGCCGAGCTGGTCAGCGGGGCGGAGTCCACCGTCATCTTCGACATGCCGTACGATATCGCGAGCATCCTGCAGGCCCGGGAGATCCTCACGCTCAAGTTTCACAACAACAGGTGGTTCTCCGTCAGGACTGGTAGTACTCCACATCTGTACGACGGTTACAACAATGGAAACAGCAACGATGTCAACGGGAACAAGGTACGACTGAAAGCATTTTTAAAAATGTTTTTCTTAAAGTATATTGTTTGTCACTCTATTGATGAATTATTCATATGATATAGTCGTGTTTCATTTAAATAGCTTTCAAATTAATGCTGCAAGTATGAAATTCCCGTCAATTACCAATTCAGTATTATATCATGCAAGTGAGGTCTTCATTTGCATATTAGATATCAATTCCTTTTTTTTCTCAAATTTGCCATTTGTTTGAAACACCTGTCTATCATGGAACGCAGTGAATTTATGCATATAAATGGCTAAAGAGGCTAATTGAAAAAACAGTGTTATTCAGCTTGTTTGTGCACTGGCTGCAAGGCTGATTTTTATGGATAAAACTTGAAACTTGAAATATACATATTTTCTTGTTGATTATGCTAATTAGATTCCAATTTGCATAATGGTCATAATTCTCACAAACTATTGGTTTCTATGAAAAAAAAATTGTGGTACTTTAAACACTTTACAGGTAAGTGTCCAGGGGCTTGTGATGACGTACGACGAGGAAACAGGAGTGCTGACGGTGGGCGATACCGACTTCGAAGCGTCCAAACAAGCCGTTCCCGAGCTTCCCGACTGGGTCAAAGGGCAGGCTTTGGCAAGAGTAGAGTACAAGTCACTGCTGGAACACTTGAGCAACCAGCAAACGTGAGCTTCTTCATAATTGTCTTATATTGAGTTTATATACTTTGTTTGCCCATTGCAAAGTAACGAATAGCTTTAAAATTTGTAAAAGAGAATAGCATACTGTGAAGATTGTATAGTGTCTTGAATAGACCGATAACATACTGGCCACATCTACCTACGGTAAAACGTAGACATGCGACATGGAAACGAGTATTGATACAAACATTTGATAGGCATGCAGCCACTGCCTCATTGGTCAGAACGCTAATTGCCCTACTACCATTGGTTGAACTGCTAATTGTTTTTGGATCTCAGGAAATGTCAAATGGTAGCAAACTCCAACAGCATTTGCATACATGCAGTGCTAAATAATCAGTGAAAAAATATAGATCCTTTGAAATATATGGGATTCTTTTGGCACAACCAATTGTTTTTCATCTGCCAACGCCCTGCTACTTCTCATTGGGTCAAATGACAGCTGCAATACTACTACTTACCGCAAGGTGACGCGCCTTTAATTTCTCTTATAACATGTGAAGGGTGACGAATGGAGACGCCCCTTGCAACATCAAATGGTCCAACGCCCACCGGATCGACCCAACCGACGGAGGGAAGTGTATCCACTTCACCGCCGCCTCAGAGGGAGACATCTTCGTGGTGTTTGCCGGTGTTCTGAAATATTCGGTCCGGTTGAAATAATCGGTCCGGGGCGTGGCCTAAAATGTACGAAGGCCCACACGCACATATTCCAATCAAGGCGATCGCTCGATTGTAACGCAGTTTAGTACATGTAACGATAAACAGGGTTCTGTAAAGTAAGCATTAACGTAAGATTGTACAATATCGCACATCATAACTTGTTTGTTAACTTATAAAAACCGTAGCGTAAGCATGAAAGAGACTATTCCTTTACAACTAGAACGCCTGAAATAAACGGTCCGCCCTCCTGAAAACCGCAATGTTGCCCTATAATATCTTATGAAACTGTTTTTTCTACTATATCATGGCCGAGGTAAACTTGTCTCGTACAATCAACGTCGTTGTTCTTGACATTGACCCCTAATCTCTTAGATACTAGGGGCGGACCGTTTATTTCAGCCGGACCAATTATTTCAGAACGCCTGAAATAAACGGTCCGCCCTCCTGAAAATCGCAATGTTGCCCTATAATATCTTATGAAACTGTTTTTTCTACTTTTTTATGGCCGAAGTAAACTTGTCTCGTACAATCAACGTCGTTGTTCTTGACACTGACCCCTAATCTCTTAGATAGTAGGGGCGGACCGATTATTTCAGCCGGACCAATTATTTCAGAACGCCTGAAATAAACGGTCCGCCCTTCCTGAAAAACCGCAATGTTGCCCTATAATATCTTATGAAACTGTTTTTTCTACTATATCATGGCCGAGGTAAACATGTCTCGTGTAACCAACGTCGTTGTTCTTGACATTGACCCCTAATCTCTTAGATATTAGGGGGGGACCGTTTATTTCAGCCGGACCAATTATTTCAGAACGCCTGAAAATAAACGGTCCCGCCCCTCCTAGAAAATCGACAATGTTGCCCTATAATATTCTTATAGAAAATTGGTTTTT